TAGCCTTTCTATTCTTTTACATTATTAATCTTTTGTAAGCCTCTTATGTTGCACAGAAAATGAGACATATTTTTCTTAAAAATATGTCAATAATAAAATCACTTCTTCCCCTATGACTATTCTCACCCTGGCTTAATCCTTGTTCTCTCCCAAATGTATCATAATAAACACCCTTCAGGACTCTCTATTTCCAAATCTTAGTATCCTGCTGTCTGTCATTTGCACAGCAGTCATAAATGTCATTTAACCAAAAATCATCTCTTCCAGTTTCTAAGCACATTTCATGCTCTAACCTCCTTTGACTTTGATGTTCTTCAACACAATCATCCTATTGTCACTCAGGGACCATTGCATGGACAGTTCTCTCTCCTGGAAACAGTCGTCCCCAAGATAGATCCACAGTCCACTCCCTCAACTTCTCAATGTTTATTTAAATATCATTCTTACAGAAGCCTCCTTGACAACCGTAATTAACATTTAAACCCCATCCTGGCTTATTCCTCTTTCTATTTTCACATTTGTCAATAAATGTTGGCAATCATACTATACAGCAAAGAGGCTATATGTGAGAACACGTACGAATGACATGTCATTTGGACTGGAAACTAGACACGGGTAAAGATCTGAAGTATGAGCAGGAATTAGTCATCTGTTTGTGATATACTTTGGTTTTGAAAATAACAAATCATTTTCTTTATTTCTATGCTTATCATACATTGATTTTTGTTTATCCCATAGAGGTAACATTACAGAGCTAAAACAATGCTGGTTATAGTATACATAGATTAATATATAATTTATTGTTAGCATATCCTACAGTCAATTTTAAGTAGAATAATTGCACACATTCTCCAGGTTCTAAGTAAGGCATTTTTCACCTCTTTGTTCCTCAAACTGTAGATCATAGGATTTAGCATGGGTATTACTAAAGCATAAAATAAAGAAGCCATCTTATCAGCATCAAATGAATCACTGGATTTGGGCGTCACATACATAAAGAACAGAGTACCATAGAATATGACTATCACTGTCAGGTGAGACCCACAGGTGGAGAAAGACTTGCGCCTGCCTTCTGCAGAGTTCATCTTGAGGATGGCGACCAGGATCAAAGTATAGGACACAAGGACTATCAGAAGAGATGAAACCAAATTAAAAGCTGAAAAGATCAGAATTATCAACTTAATCTCCAGTGTATCTGAGCAGAGCAAAGAGATCAGTGGCTGAGTGTCGCAGTAGAAGTGCCTAATGACATTATAGTCACAAAATGATGAAGTAAAAATTTTTATGATGGTCAGCAAAGACAAAAAGACACTGTAGAGATAGGGGATTGCCACGAGTGCCTGACATAATCTTTGGGACATGATGACTGTGTAGAGCAGGGGGTTACAGATGGCCACATAGCGGTCATAGGCCATTGCAGACAGAATGAAAAGTTCACTGATGATAAACACACCGAAGACAGTCAGCTGGGCAGCACACCAGCTATAAGAGATTGCATGGTCATCTACAGCCAAGTCGACTAGCAATTTGGGTCCCACAGCTGTTGAATAACCAAGATCAGTGAAAGCCAGGTATCTAAGGAAAAAGTACATGGGTGTTTGCAGCCTGGAGTCTATCTTGGTGAGGATGATCAAGCCCAGATTACCCACCACTGAGACCATGTATACAATGAGGAAGAGTCCAAATAATGGATCCTGCAGCTCAGGGAGGTCCGTGATTCCTATTAGGATGAATTCATTCAACATTGTCAGATTGCGTTTGTGCATCCAGACCATTTGGGAAACATATACTGGAAATGAATATAAAAATAATTGTTAACTTTCATGAGATATATCTGAGATTATCATTGAAATAAGTGATTTAAGTCTTAACAACTTTTATTTATGGCTTGATGATTTAATTGGCGAGCCCAACACATGGCAGCTTATTCACTCTCTCTCTGAGCTCAGCTAAGCTGTTGACAGATTTCTTAGATATGACACCAAAAGCACAAACAGCAAAAGTGAACATAGATACACTGGACTTAATCAAAATTAAAACAAAACAAAACAAAGCTTTGTGCAGCAAAAGCGATTCTCAAAGAATTAAAAATGTGATTCACACAATAGAAAAAGATTGCAAATCATATATTTGATGAGGATCTAGTATACAGAGTATAGAAAGGACTTCTATAACTCAACAACAAAAAGACTTAACGACCCAAATTTGAAAACAGGCAAAGACCTTAAATAGAAATTTCTCACAGAAGATAGACAAATGGACAATAAGCACATGAAAAGATATTCAACACTATTAGTCATTAGGGAAATGCAAATCAAAGCCACAATGAGATATCACATCATGCTACCCCTCCCCACCATGGCTATTTAAAAAGAAAAATTAAAATTGCAAATGCTGACAAGGGTGTGGAGAGATCAGAACATTTATCCATCGTTTTGGGGGAATGTAAAATGGTGTAGCCACTGTGAAAATAATTTGGGAGTCACTCTATAAATTAACCATAGATTTGCCACTGTGACCCAGCAATTCCACTGCTAGATATGTGCCTCACAGTTCTGAAAACCACAGACGCTCCTACAAAATCATGCACATAAATGTTCATCGCAACATTTTTCATAATAGTCAAATAGTCAAAAAAGTCAACATTTTTCATAATAGTCAAAAATAGTCAAAGTAGTCAAAAGTCATAATAGTCAATAGAAACCACATAGGTGTCCATCTAGTAATGAATAAGTGTGATATATCCATACAATGGGATATTAATAAACCATAAAAGGGAAGAGATACTGATACACTCTTCAACATCCATGAGCCTTTGAAGCACTGTGCTAAGTGAAGGAAGCCAAGTATAAAAAGCTACATATTGTACATATTGTACATATCCATCCCATGTAATACCCAGAACAGACAAATCCACAGAGACAGAAAGCAGGCTATTGTGGCTTGTTCAGGAACACTGAATTAATTATCAAGAGACAATACATTTGGGGACAAATTTCAGTGGATATAAAATTATATGTATTTTTATGTACAAATCTCAACTGGCTGAATAAATGAGGTTACAAAGTGTGTCCTTTTCTAAATCCATGCTAATAAGTACCAGTCTCCTTGTATATGAGAAAAGTTTTGAGATTTTTTTCTCACCATCCTTAGAGTTCTGTGTAAAGTGCTAAATGAAAAAAAAAATTCTACATATATTATTTTACATGATTAGTGAAGATGATCTAGTTCTGAACTTTTAAATCTTTTCTTTTTCTCTCAAGATTCTTGAAACATGTACAAAATACAACAGGCAAGGCTTAGCATTGGACCATCACTATAAAACTACGCTGAGGAGAGAGATTAGAGAGGTTAAATCATTTCCATCCCTGCCCCGTGCACCAAATACACATTCAACACTAAAATAAGTGACAGTAAATGTATTCTACAATGAGAGATCAAAAATATATATCTAAATCGATATATTTAAACACCAAAGTAATTTCTGAGAAGGAATAAAGGGAGTTTTACTAGGAGCTACTAAAAAAAGAATGGTAAAGACAATATAATTTTAGGCAAAATATACATTCCTCTTTTATAATTTTGCAAGGACTGTTTTTTGCTTAAATCTGTGTTTGTATAGATTTTAATCTTAGTTCCAATCTCCTTTAGATGTGCATTTTAGTCATTCAAGGGACAATATGATGGCATTTCACATACTTGCAGGTGGGAGAGAGGAGCAGTCCTCATACTCATCAGACATTATGGTGTGATGGAGTCACCATGTAGTGAAATAGATGCTTTCATATTTTACTTTGGTCTTCCCTCCAACACAAAAAAATGGTAACTTTCAAATGACATCGATCCTTTCAATAATATTGGTAAATTTGGGAAACACATGGCATATTTGAAGCAGAAAAATTTCAATGACTATAGATACATTAATATAAAATCCCTTTAATTTAGAGGCAGCTGAAAAACACTATGGAAATCTATTATTATTTAATATTAGAAATGCTGAAACAAACCCAGCTAACTAAAAATGACAATATCATATTTGACCTCTTAATTAAGGATCCAAGTGAAAGAAAATAATTATAAAAATCTCAAGGTCTTGTTAGTTTCTTAACAATACTAAGTCCCTTTTCAGAGATATTTCTTTACCAAAGAGTACAAACTTACCACATCAAAGTAAATGCCTAGCTTCCATCAAAAATCATAATAAAGATGTTTACAACATGGTACTGGCCCAGAGAAAAATATATGGGTTTCTTTGCTCCTTTGAGACTCTCCCAGGGGAGAAAAGATATAATTTGTTAATTACACCTGAAGCATTTTGTTTTAAACAAGGCCAATGGGATATCTGGAAATTATACAGACTATCTTTATATTCCTATACAAGCAAAGTTTTGTTAGATAACTTCCCACAGTTTCTCTTAGGTTAAGTCTTTTCTGCTGCAGCTCAGAGATCTGGAATCAAAACACTGTGTCTGTAAGACAGGTATTTTAGTTTCTCTTGCAGCCTTTCATTTTCTCCTCTTAATGCAATGGATTTGATGACTTTACGGCTGATGACATGATGGAGAAACTGTGAACAATTCTTGTATTGTTTCAAAAATTCACAAGGGGAAATAATACATAGGCGTAGCTGCTTTCCCCTTATTTGTGGTGTTTTAAACTTATTACTGAAGTGTAATATACATATTAACAAAAGCATACCTCATAAATAACTTTTAAAAATAGAAATAGCATATGATCCAGCAATTCCACTCCTAGGTATATATCTGAAAAAATGAAAACACTAATTGGAAAAGATACATGCATTCTGATTTTCATAACAGTATTATGGAATAGCCAAGATGGAAGCAACTTGCATTTCCATCCACATATGAATGGATAAAAATGGGTATGTGTGTGTATATCTGTGTGTGTGTGTGTGTGTGTGCGCACACACACAGTGGAATAATACTTAGCCATTAAAAATGAAAATTTTCCATTTGCAACAAGTCCATGGATGGACTTGGGGGCTATTATGCTAAGTGAAATAAGTCAGACAGAGAAAGACAAATATTTTACAGTATCATTTATATGTAGAATCTAAAAAAAAAAAACTAGTGAATAAAACAGAAATGAAGCACTCACAGATAAAATACAAAACAAAAAACCCCCAAAAAACAGCTACTCCTACATCCCTTTTATCAACACCAATATTCGGTCTAGATTGGTTTAGTCTTAAATGTATTTCTGTTTGGGTGCATTACTTACATTGAAATTGCTGAGTCATGGGGTACTATTCAGAGCAGCAAATACTGCCAAATGTATTTCCAGAGTAGTTATATCAAAGTGCATTCCTTACTAGCAGTGAAAATTGTTATGATCACTCAGCATCCTTGTCAAGATTTGATATTTTCCATTATTTTGTTTCTAGCCCTTCTGGATGAAGTGTACAGGTGTCACTGTGGTTTAAGTTTGCATATCCTATGCTGAATGAAATTAAAAACGTGTTCACAAGTTTAATGGTCATTTAGATATTTTCTTTTGAGAAGTGCTTGTTCATGTCCTGTGTCATCTTTTTGTAGTATTTCATGTCAAGTATTTATTGATTTGTGAGAGTTTTTCTTATATTTTACATATGGGCACTCTGTGATATACACATGTTTGATTACGTACATCTAATAAAAATATCCTCTCCAAATGAGAGTTTCCCTTCCCACATTATTAATTTTGATGAATAGAATTTCTTAAAACAGTTCAATTAAATTTTTTAAAATTTTATATAGTTATTGCTTTGTGTGTTTTGTTTTAAAATTTGTACATATTCCAATATCACAAAGATTTCTCACTATGTTTTCCTCTAAAATGTTTATTGTTTACCTTTCACATTTAGATCTTTAATCTGGGTAGAACTGACTCTGTATAGGGTTTGGCTAGGTGCTCAGATTCTTTTATTTTTTTCTCAAAATAAATATTCAAATTACCTAATAGTATTTATTGGAAAGATCATTCCTTCTCTTTTGGAAAATAGTGATGCCTCTGTTTTAAGTCAGGTAACAATAGGTGTGTGGATCTGTCTCTGGAATCATTTCATTGTTCTGTCTGTCCTCAGGAAAATGTTTCTTTAATTATTAAAGCTTTATAACAGGCCATGGTATCTGGTCATGTAGCTTCAGCAAATTTATTCTCTTTCTTCAAGATTATCTTTGCTATTTTTGGTGTTTTGCCTTTCTGAATAAATTTTACAATAAGCTTCCGAGCTTCTAAAAGGAAGAAAAAAGAAGGGAAGGAGGGAAGGAAGGAAGGAAGGAAGGAAAAGAGGGAAAAAAGGAAAGGAAGGTGGGACAAGGGAGGGGGGAAGGATTTATGTTGGGATTATATTGAACCTATAAATCAATCTAAAGATAATAGACTTTGTTACAATAATAAGTCCTCCATTCCATGGACAAATGTGTTATCAGTTTTCATTGATTTATCTGTTTTAAATGCATTGTTAAATTTTCTATACCTACCATTGCTGAGGGCTTAAATATTTTTTGTAAAATTCATTCCTAAATTAGGTATCTTTTATGGTTTTGTCATTATTTTTATTTCCTGAAATTTTATTTTCTAATTTGTAGTTGGTAGGATATATAAAGTTGATTTTTCTAAATTTATTTTGTATCCAGTAACTTTGCTAAATTCACTTACCATTTTAAATAAATTATGCATTAATTTTTCACTATATAGTTAATCATAACATATACCAAATTTAGAAAAACTGGCAGTATGTGATTTTCTGTTTTCATATCTAATTTTTTTTCCTTTATCATCGTAAACCAACTACTATGTTCAATACATACTAAATATTAATGGTGAGA